GAATCCATCCTTTCCGACAATATGTCCCAAGAATTTAATTTCCTCCTGGAAAAATCGGGACTTGGCGGCACAAACGTAAAAGTGATTCTGTCGGAGGATTTCGAGAGCTTGGCGTACGTGCCGTTCGTGCTCAGTCTGCAGAGCGGCGTACGCGAAAGCATTTGCGCCTGCAATGCTCCGAGCGGCAGCTTGAGCAAGCACCGCTGTGTTTTGCCGCCGTCACATCACTAGACATTTCCAGTGTGGTCCGACAAGTGAAGCCCTCAATCCCTCTCAATGGCAAGTGGAGGCCTGAATACGTCCCGTATCTAGCGAGGCTCTTCCCTAACGTGCAAAGACTTGTTGTCGGCGTGGGGCAGAGAAATTGGCTTAGCTCAGGGGAGCTTCCGTTTAGTCGCGTGTGGGCCAAATTACAACACACGTGGTGTTCACAAGCGTTGAACGGTACTATGAGCAGGACAAGGAGGGATTTTTCCCTCAGGAAGCCGAGTCTCTGTCCTTGATGGAAAGCGTCGGGTGTGGGCCTTTGGTTATGACTAATGTTGGGAGGTTACCAGACCCTGGGCAAGTTTTGCTGCCGCTGAAAGAGGTCAAGTTCCAGGGTATCACATTCTTGGAAGACGAGCAGCTCCGTAAGCTATGCGAGGCTGACCTCTCCACCTTGGAGAGTCTCTCCTTGGAGAGTCTCTCCTTGGAAGTCAACAACCTCTGCTCGATGCCCCTCCTGTGTCGGGCGGTCTCCGCGGCAAAGTGTCCAGCACTGCAAAGTCTGGAGGTGGGAGTAAACACTTTGTTCGGTTGCAACGACGACATGACCTTGGACCTCTTTGGGAATGCTAGCCTTGGGGTGTTCTTCCAAGGGATCCCTCCAGTCCAGTCCCTTACGCTGTCCATCGTAGGACCATCTTTGGTAACAACAATCCCCTTGACCACAGCGCTTGCGAGGAGCTTGCGGACTCTAGACGTCTCGATCGGAGGACCGTGGCATGTTGACACCCCAGACCTTGACCTGTCTTCGATTCCCCGGCTGGAGTGTCTCAAGTCTTTGACACTAGTTGGATTGAATCGTGGTAGCGCAAGCCACTTTGGGGCGCAGATGGTGTCTGTGCTAGGCAAATGTAGGAGTCTAAGAAGCCTAGCGTTTGACCTCTGGTCCAACAAAAAGGAAGGGGCGCATGAAGAGTGGGCCGAAGTCCTCAACTGCATCGCCGAAGCGGCCCCGCCAACTTTGACTGACCTCAAGGTAGAGGCATCCCCCACAACTCTTGCGGATGAAGAGACCAGGGACCTGTCAATCCTTTTCTGCCAGTCTGGTTTCAGTAGGCGTTTGAGGAAGCTTGAGTGCGAACTAGGTGCGGAGGAAAAGGACCTGTTGGGGTTTGTGTTTAGGGGCTGGGAGGATCTGGAAGAGTTGACCTTGATCTGGGGTTCAGGCTACCAGAGTCCGGAAGAATGTCTGCCAGCCACAGTCGAGATCACGTGCCCTTCTTTGAGGACCCTGAACGTGCGTTCGCTGGGCTACCTCGGTTTAGAGTTGCAGGGGGCACACGAGTCCCTTGCTACTGTTGGGTTGAAGATTGGTCGGGAGGGCTTGGATTGGTATGTGCTAGGATTGCCAAGCCTTCTTAAATTAATGGACGACCTCCAAAGGTTGCCATCCCTCACAAACCTGGCGCTAGACACGGAGTTTTGCGCAAATTTTTACATAGACCGCAGCGTCACGGCCGCACTAACTAAGCTGTCTTCCTTAAAAGTTCTGCATTTAGCGACGAAGATGCGGAGAGGTCCCCTTCAGCCCTCGAACTGAAATACCTTGTTGACCTGCCCCATGCTGACAGAGCTTATTGTACGGGAGGATCTGAGTAGATTTTTCCGGCCAGTTTTGGAGAGGCTCTATAAGCACGAGGTCGTTGAACTATGAGGTCAGGTATCAGCACTTCTTCAAGGCCAGGCATTAGCTGAACATTTCGTAAGATAGGCGCTAGACTGCCAGATGGGCCCCTTGTCTCAGTGGCGGCCAATACCTGCCAAACCGTGAATCTGAACCCCGAAATCGAAGGATCAAATGTATGTTTTGTCAGCCGACTTGGCAGCTCAGGCTGTGGGATCGGTCGATCTTTGAGAGCAGACTCTGACCGTTCCAAGTACGTCTAGCCTGAAGTACGGATGCACATGTTGTTTGCCAATATGTACCATGAATCGTCACAGTGCATGGCGGCAATTGTATATGACGCTTCAGATCAAGGCGCATATCCATGCAGTGGTCAGATCCATATCGCATATATTTGCAAACGCAGTCAATTTTCAATGTGTAATGACTGGCAGCATGAGATCCGATGATCGTCAAAGCTCTACGATCTGTACTAATCATAAGCTTTATAACGCGTGCATGGCTGCAAGGCCCGGTCGCCATCAGAAGTCACGCCGGTTATCAACTTTTAAGTCGATGAGTCTTACCGTACCGTCTAGCTATAATGCTGGGCGCGTCAATGATGCAATTGCGGCACTCAATCTGCATAGTCTGATAATACATTGTGGCCTTGCGATCGCAGCTATAGTACCATGTCGGAGACTACCGTACGGGTTTTCGCCGTGATCTTAGCTGTATATGTGTGTGGTCAACAATTGTAATGAACCTTCCAGGCTCAACTCCTGGGCATGCATGAACACGCGGTAAACGCAACGAGCTTTGACACAAAAAAGAAGCAAACCATACCATATCCGTGAGCTTTCTATGGGCAATGAGTTGATTTTGCATCACAAGTTGGCGCATGCTGATTTAGATGCGGGCGCATTTGCCAGATTTTTGCCCGGCTCAAGAATTCCGAAAGCGCTCAATAATGATATTTGGCTCGCACATAGGACGTGGTAACTTGTAAGAACTTCGCCATGCGATGATGCCATGACACACCTGTAATTATCAACTGCCTCCTCCCAAATCAGGAGCTAGTCTGATGATCTAGCGGGGGCCAGTCTGGACTTCTCTCCTCTTTGACCTAATGCTCGAGGCACTCTTATATGTATTTGCTTTGGTTGCTCTGTAACCGATTGCAGCCCCGACGACCGCTTATCAAGCTCTCTAGGGGCGCGCGTCAACCGCATGATAAGGGTCGTGGGCACGAACCTTTTCCTCGGCCAAGCAGTTCTTGAAGCCGTTCTTTAGCGACTCTTCGTTGAGCTCCCTCCCGATGAAGACAATCTTGCTCAAACGCTTTTCGTCCTTGCTCCACGGACGTTCAGGAGTGCCCTCAAAGAGGTCATGAACGCCCTGCAAAGATCGACACTCATCCAGTAGTCCGCTCGAGCAACACAAGAGGACAGAGACATGCTTCCGACCAGCCGGCCTGAGCAGTGTTTCCTTGCGCAAGTTGCATAGAAGTTCTGAGGAGCGTTCGGGTAGCCTGACGAACTTGTAACTAAGACATGTTTAGATGCAAATCCGGATGCGCCAGTTGTTTGAAAGCACACGAGTCCAACATAGCTGACCGAATGAATGCCTATTGAGATCCATGAATTAAGTCAACTCTCTATGCAAGGGCAGCAGAGGCGCTGAGTAAATGATGAGTACCTCTCTGATCAGCTTCGAGAATGGCATGCTTATATACAATAAAGGAGGCAGGTGTTGACATTATGGAACCGGTCCTTGCTCTAACTGGCTGCAGCAGTTCATTGAGAGGGACTCAAAACCCTGAGTCCATCTTTATTCCCTCAGGGTATTGAGTCCCTCTTCACGACTTGCCAAGCTCACAGAATCATCGGATTTAAAGGGACGAGACAATCACTCGAGACGAGCAGCCAGTCACCCGCTGTAAAGCCGTTCAAAACCCGGCCGGCGACATTCGGCAACGACTTCTTGTTGTAGTCCTTGTAAATTTGTCACTGCGCATTTTCAGAATATGAGCTCGCGGCAGGACCTCCAAAAACCTTGGGAAACTTCATTTGTACATCCTTGTACTTACCAGGGCTTGCCGTTCATTCTGTTCATTGTCCAGTCCAGTTGACCTCCAAAGCTCGGAAGTTTCTAGACGTGATCAACATGGAACGAGCTTCGAACAGGTCTCGACAACAATCAAACGTCACCAATATGAAACGAGCTTTGAAAAGCACCAACTACAACGTACCTGGAACACGAAGCGCTCCTTGCTGCCCTGGATTGCGAGCACGCCCTTCATCCGGTATATGTCGTCGCTGTGGTACGAGAGCACGTCGCTCAGCCAGTCGTTCACCTGGGAGGAAACAGACGGTCAGGAGCGGCCAGAGAGAGAATCGAACGGCCGGCGAAGCTCAGGGGACATCGGGCGGTCAGTGGACATTGTCGGGGGCCCATCGGACGGACACGAGCGCCCAGGAGGAGGACGGAACGTTGGGCAGAGAGTTGCGACTGGATCAGTCGGATCAGACGGTTAGCAGTGCACGGAAACAGAATTGAACTGCTGGCAAAGCCGGTGGAGCAATCGAAGCGCCCGGAAAAACGACGCGGATTGCGAGCGCTGGACGGGAAACTGACGGTCAACAACATCTTGGAAATAGCAAAGACTGAGAATGCGATCGGACGCTTAATGCTTCGAGTCCGACGACAAAGCCTAGCCAGCGTGGCGGTACAAGTTTCGAATGCACAGCGCTGAGATGAATTGAACAGCTACAGCGGATCGACATAGACCAGATTGCTGGTGGCTACGGATACAAGCTGAACGAACTTGTTGATGAAACTATTAAGTTCAAACTATGCGTGTGATATATGTGTGTACCAAGGAAGAAAAAGGGAGCGGGTAACACAGTAGCGATAATCAAAATTGGGCAAGAAGAAAGAAGCAAGGGTAGGGCACTGCCGAGGTTGGAGAAAACGGGTTCGAACTAAAGGAGGAGTAATGGTTCTGACAGCAGACGCTCACAACCCCAAGCAAACACTCCGCACGTCGAAAAGCCCACGCAAGCGAACTGTGCAGAAACATCCGCTCGTCAGAACTGCAAAGCAGCCTCGAGAACTAGCGGGGAGTAATCTGATCAGACCGGAACGCTGCCCTCACAAGCCATTGGTCGGCACAGACGCATTTAAAGGCAGGAAATCAAGAAGCCCCTGCTAGAGTTGTTACAAAGCAACAATCACGAAACCTCTCCAGGACTTCGTTACGAGGTTAACTATAACCGAACAGGACGAGACAGAGCGCTCACCAGCTCAATGTCCAGCTCCCCGTCCTGCACGATGCTGACTGACGTGATGCCGACGTCATGCACGTGGTCGTGGTGCTCGTGGCCGTGGTCGTGGGAGTGTCCGTGGTCGTGGTGGCCTGCATCAAGAGCGTTCCGCAGAGAGGTTTTCCTAACCACCGGGTTTAACCTCTTCCCCAACCACCAGGTCTTGAAAGGCATATTGAGCTTTTGTTCTGATGTTAGAAAATTTACATGGAAGAGCATCGGTCATGTTGGAAGTTTTACATGGAAGAGCGTCGGTGATGTTGGAACTTTCATTTGAAGGACACGCCGCTCTTCTTGCCACTGCCTCAAAGCAAACAGGGACCCTGCTCCAAGCTCTGAAAAGCTTCGAACTTGCACACTCCCCGCCCTTTCTACCGAAACGCTAGGATGCTTGACGCTTGATTGCTTATTCGTGCTGGTTGTTTACCCCAATCGCACCAAATCGGTATTGTTTGCCCGCAAAAAGCCGCACGCCAGATTCACAATGCTTGTCGGAACCGGCAAACTCAGCACTCTTGCATGACAACGAAACCATCCTAGCAGAACTCCGCATGTTCTCGTGAACCAGAACTGCCTAATCTGCTTCCCCAACAAGAAAGACAATAACGTTCTTGACCAGATGCAGTCTTACCATGGTTGTGCGAGTGCCCCTCCTCGGCGCACTTTGTGCAGTCGTCCGCATCGCCCGCGTGCTCATGGTCGTGATGATGTTCGTGGTCGTGGTCGTGGTGATCGTGATCGTGGCTGTGGCTGCTCTTGGGCTCCTCCTCCAAGAACTTGGGGTCCACCGCCTCCTCGATCCTGACGTCAGCAGAGAGGGTGACGTCAGCGGAAAGAATGACAACAAGGACAGCGGCTATTGTTGAGGGTCGTGGCTGTGGCTGCTCTTGAGCTCCTCCTCGAGGATTTTTGGGTCCACTGGCTCCTCGATTCTGACGTCAGCCGAGAGGGTGACGTCAGCGGAAAGAATGACAAGCAGGACAGCGGGTATCGTTGAGGGTCGGGGCTGTAGCTGCTCTTCGGCTCCTCCCAGGATTTTTGGGTCCACTGCCTCCTTGATTCTGACGTCAGCAGAGGGGTGACGTTTGCAAAAGAGATGCGCAGGCGGCACTTAAGGTCGACGGCAGTGAGCGTGTTCGCTCTGGAACTTGTTTCTAAGCGAACGAGTTCCAAAAAAGTTCCTCCACTGAACGAGACCCTTTCAATAGAGGGCGGCAGCGCTTACAAGCGAAAATCACGTCCGAACCTTGGAAAGGACAAACCGAAGCACTTGGCCCGGCAAAAGGCCAGCCTGTGCAACGGCACAACATCTACTATCCGCCAGTTCGAGCCCAATCGTGGTGACCTCAGCACCAACCGTACGACACGGAGCACATAAAACCGACTTGGCTGAAAGGAAGCCCGGCCTTTGTGATATCCCACCTTTCCAGGTCGAACCCTCCGACCCCCAGCACGTAGTCTAGGTCGACCTTGCCCTTGACGGCCTGCTGCACCTTGGCCATCGAGTTGATTCTCTCGATCGTCTTCCGGACGGAACTCAGCTCGCGCTCGTTCACCAAATCAATCTGCGAAGGATGGTTTCTGGGGTGAATGCTTGCGCCAACGTAAGATGCACCCTGGCCATCAATTAGATCGCTCCCAAATGGAGCTAAGCTCGAGCTCGAGCTCGTTTACCAGGCCAACGCTGCATGGAACAAACGTGGGTAAGATGCTCGCCCAGCGACCAGGTAATGTAAGTTGCATGAACACGCGAACCTGCTTCGTTTGTTGTGGAAGAAGACCACCTAGATTGTGACACACGTGTTCAGAATACACATGAGCGTACCCAATTATCCCCAGACGTTTCAAGGATAACCGCGTGCACGATCTGTTCAAAGCCTTGCTCGCTGACAAGGTAATTTGGGGGGGCTTAAAGTGGGCGTAGGACCTGCACGTCTCTTCAAGATTGCACGGTGCGCAAACCATCACCAAAGTGACGTCCAAAATCGAGGGCGCCAAACTCATGACGTCGTCGGCACGGGTAACGGCCGTCCAATCCCAACGCCCACTTTGAAAGCTAACGATTCACATGAACGTGCTGGAAAGACTCCAGAAGAGCCTGTCCGACCATGAACCCGCTCGACCGCCTTGTTCACTCGCAAAGGAGAGTACAACAATCAGGAATGCCACAACGAACTTTTGTAAATGGTCTCCTCACCTTGTTCAAAATGATCCTGTCAGCATATGCAATCTGCTCGACCGCCTCGTTCACGACCCCGTCTGGCTTGACCTCGTTGATGTGTCGCTCTGCGTGCTTGGCGTCTACCAGCGTCACGACCGCGTCAATGTATAGCTCATCCGCGATGTCTGGCTCCAGGTAGAATGTCCGGATAATAGGGGCAGGGTTGGCCAAACCTGAAATGCAAACCAGTAAATTAGATATTGACTTGTGCGCCTTTTCAGAATGACCTTCTTTTCGCATCGTCTGGCTCCTGGACACGCGTCAAGGAGATGGGAGCGAAAATAGCTAGCCCTAATGCAAATCAAAAGACTTGGTTTACACCCGCTCTGTCTAGCTTCAAGGAACATACTTTGATAGTGAGGGGCATTTGGCCAACATATAGTGCAACACGGGGCAAAACTGCAGACAACCCGGAAGTTGGTAGATGCGTAAAGGGTCAAGCGGAGGGCGAAGTAAATGAAATATAGCCCAAGGGAGAATCCAACACCTGCGAGCATATGGGACGGGGTGGGCAGCACGTCGAATATATTGATCGGTCCGCCAAATCTGAGTGCACCATCATGCTAGCAAACCGCGTTTTGCAACGTCTGCCGCTTAGGGAGATGCTTTGAGTTTGAAGATGAGAACCTTGAAGCCAATCATCAATTTCTCAAACTCAAAGAGACTGGCCAAGTGATTGGCCAAAGCACCTTTGAAAGTGGTTTGGGGGCATGTGCTCACCTGTCGTTTCGACGATGACGTGGTCAAACTTGTCCTTCTTGGTCCGCACCAGGTCCGTGATCATACGAACGAGGTCGCTCCGCACGGTGCAGCACATGCAGCCATTGTTCAGCAGAATGATCTCTTCCGCGCCGCTTTGCTTGGAGGCGACCAGGGAGCCGTCAATGTCAATCTCTCCATACTGCACAGACAGCAGTCTGAATCGAGTCAATCTGTTTCTTGGAGTCCTGTCACTGTGGCACGACCTCAAAAAAGAGAACGACATTTACCAAAAAAAAAAAACCTTTTCAAGATGCTGTCAAGGGGCAGAACATTAATCGCCTGTTGTGCTTTTAGGAACTGACTTCTCTTGTAGGTACCAGAATGTACCTTCTTGGAGGACCTTTCCAAGATTGTGCCAAAAGGTAGCTTGTTGTAAGAAGGACAGGTGGTGGGGGAAAAAGAGGCAGAGCGCCTTGGGGAGCCGCTGTTGCGGAAGCATCAAAGTTTCGCCTTGATTGTGTCAACTTCAGCTGCTGGAGATGCAGCCAAGATGAGACTGCGCTAATCTTTACTGCAGACGGCATGTGAGTACATGGTGGTTGTGCCTCGTTAGGCTCTGCTCCTTTCGACAAAAGTTTGGACTGCCGCTCGTGCTCAATGACATACTAATTGAATCAAGCGAAGCTCTAAGCAGATAATCACATCAGGTACGTCAATAAAGGCCCGAAAGTTCTTGTTGGTGAATGTTGACATTGCAGCTTCTACAACATTCCCATCCTCCACTTTATAGGACCAGCTGCATTGAAGACGTCCTGAAAGCACCACACATTGCAGCAACCCGTTGCTAAGGAATTGATGAAATGAACGTTTATTTACAAGCGCGCACCTCATTCTCGATGACAGCGATGCGTTTCCCATGGTCTGCCGTCAGGATGTAGTTCAAAAGCGTTGTCTGCAAAGGGCACAAGGTTGTTAGCGAAAATCTTGGCATACCATATCAAACTCCATTTTCCAACAAAGAAACATGATTGCTTTTTCTAGGGAAAAGTGCAAATCGAGGCATGAAGTGCACTTGTAACGATGGTCGAGCAGACTCTTCCCAGAAAGTGTTACCCTGCTGACCCTGAATACCACCACTTGCCGTCTACAACCCTCCTTACTCGGAACACTTCTGAATGGCGGCATAGGGGTTTGCCCAAAGGACTCTTATCCATGCCTGGAAGCGCAACTATGGCCTTTTAAGATTGTCCTACAAAACCTTTCCTAAAACAAAAGACACAGCTACAAGCCACCAATCAGGCGCTGCACATACTTTGCCCGACCCGAGATACCCGGTGATCACAGTCACGGGAATTCGGTTTTCCGGCGGCAGATCAAAACCCTCCCCCGCCTCCCCCTCCACAAAGGTGTCCGCGTCTGCGACACTGGCCCGTGTCTGGAAAGCACCTGAGAGCCTTCGCCAGCCTCCTTTCCTCTGTTTGAAAGCTGCTTGAAGCGCAGTACCTTTCAGTGGCTGTGAGCGAGCGGACGAGAGAGAGGAGAAAGAGGTGAAAGGTCTTGAGCACCGGCCGCAAGCGGGAAGGCCCTCTCGGCCTGAACGCATCTGCTTTCTCCCAATCGCTGCGAGAGCGGAAGACAGGACGGCGCCTGCCCTCCAGGTTGCCGCGTGGGAGGCCATTGCAAATCGTGCTTCAAAGCGTCAGCTGAGACGCGTGCAGAATACGGCAACAAATCGAGTAAGAATGTGTAATGCCAACGCCAATGCCTCGCAGTGATGGCAAGTGATGGTGACGTTCTAGCTTTCGTGCAGTCTAGCACTGGCAGCTGGCTCCCCCTTGAACATTTATTCCCACTAGGCCGGGTCAAGAATCTTTACATATTTCCAGGATTTGAAACAAAATCTGGAAATCACCACGAGAGCAAATCCCTAGTCAGCAGGTTTTGCCAAGTCTTCGACGGAGATAGGTTTTTATGCCGAGTCTAGCCCTGATTGACGATCGAAATCGTTTGAAAGCTCCTCCATAGAATGCGCGGGTTTGTGCTAACTTTGGTTACGTAAACCGTTCCTGCAATTGGGATATACCCGTACGACCAAGGTATGATTCCGAATGCTCAAAAAAAGCAATTATTTTTGCGAATGCGAACCCAAATCATGTATTATTTTCCACTTTCCGACGCTAAATCCGAATCGGTAAGGGGTATCCAGGTACCCATGCTTTCTAGGGGTCTGGCGGTTCAAGGTACGTACCGGAGACCTATACGGCCTGGAAAAGTACTTTCCGAATGGGTTTTAGCAATTATTTTCCCTTTCCGAAAATGCAGAATCCGACTGCTTATCCGGAATTTCCAACTTTCCGAATGCAAATAACTATTTATTTATTCGGAATCATACCTTGGTCGTACGGGTAGTAGAGATTCCATCCGGATTTTTGGACCAGGCTTTTGGCCATTGGGAGATATACAATTTGAATCAGCTCAGTAAACTGTAAAGACACCAAGTAGCTCTCCCAGAGTCCCAATGCTTATGCACGTTTTGAATTTCCTTCACATCGCACTTGGCTGCTGAAGAGCTTCTTTGAAGCGCCGTTGTTCCTAAGCAGTGGTCAGACTTGTACGAGCGACAGGATGGATCAAAACGCAGAGATAGACCTGGCCAACGTTAGCGGGGCTCTAACGGACGCTCAAAGAGGTGATTGTGCAGTAGGCATCTTGTTCTGGTTGCGGCATGTTATATTTCAGGACGCTGACGTATGATAGAATCAGCTGTTCACTGGATGATTGACCGTTCGTATGCTGAAATTGAGTGGCCAAGTGCTAAGTAAAGTATCTTCGATTTGCAAGCATGTGTTAAAAAAGGTCATTGGCCGCGGTTGTCAACAAGTTGCGTGATGTGCTGACTGTCCTCTCTTTTGCAGAGGACTTTATCAAGAAGGCTCTGGCTGCGAAGGGTATCGCAGGCAGTCCTGGTCTGGTTCAGCTCATGCAGGTACTTTCCTTTTAAGACAACTGGTGTGAGCTGTCCTTTCATCTGAGGATCTGTTTAACATGCTGCCCTGTGAATAATTGCAGTCTGTCAGCCAGCCTAAGGTTTTGATTTTGTGATGGTAATGGTGCACGCGCTCAGGAGCCACATCCAGATGACCTGCATCAATGTGATTCTCCGGCAGGTCAGATCTGTCCTGATGTTCCAAGCGTGGTGTTCCCCTTAGCCCACAGGGAGTCTTGAGCGATTCAACGTCTGAACAACAATCTTCTTGCAGAGGGTCTGAAATGCTGCTCTGACAATCAAGCCCCAAGGTCCTTTATGTTGTCGGTGTTGCATCGTCGAAAAGCAGTTGTACTTTTCTGTATCCCTCAAGGATATCGGGTCTTTCGAAAGACGCTTCGACCACCCTTCCCATCAAGCTCCACATCAGCATTCCTTGCCAGCAAAGAAATGTAGTCCCCCCTCGTTGACAAATTTTCAGGTCCTGCTGATGGTCATTGCTACTTTTGGATCTCAAATCTTCAGAAGCTGCAGTATAAGAAGTTTTCGTTATGAGGCTGCCTGAATGTCTTTCACTGAGAGTGCCCGACCTCAAAATGGTTGTCTGATTGAGTTGGACTATTCAGGGAGTGTTCTGTTCTGGCCATTCACCTTATAGAAGTCGCTTAAAGGTCAATATGTAGACTCTCAACCATAATCATCATGAGTATTTCATCACAATAAGTCAAGTAGCAATGAAGTGTTCGTATAGTAGTGATGGTCGGTTCAATTTTTCTGCGTTTGCTGCTGCAGGATAAGCTGGACAGGCTGGTTGGGAAGTCGTCAGGGTACCTGGAGTCCCTCCCGAAGAAGGTCAAGAATAGAGTCGAGAATCTGAAGAAGCTCCAGGTACCCATCAAATCTGCATACTTTCTTCCCGGTATATGCGCATCTAGCTTCCTTTTTGCCGAAGTTTTGGCCAAGCTTAACTCTCGTAGGCAGAATGTCAACAAGCAAACAGCTTAGAGGCACATTCGCTTCAATCTGAAAAACAGGATTGTACCAATGGTGATTGTGGTTGCTGTGCCGCTCTGATCATCAGCCACTGCATACGCCCTTCTTTTTTCACCTTCAGTGCCCAGGGTTGGAGGATTATCCATCCACACAGCGTAGTGGTTGATAGCGACACACATCTGAGTTTTCTAGGTTGCTGTTACATCCGAGGTTGACACACTAAGTTGGCACGTTTGGAGTGCACCATGTTGGACTGTTTTAACAAAGGCGTCTGCTTGCTAGGCACCGGTTCAGTGTTTATCTCACTGTGACAGACACTTTGAGAAGTCCAATTCCAGCCAATTGACAAACCAAACCAGGTCCTTCTTATATCTGAAACTCTGTCGTTGGATGGGTACAGGAAGAGCACGATGAATTGGAGGAGCAGTACCTGAAGGAGAAGGCTGAGCTAGAGGCCAAGTACAATGCCAAGTATGCCCCTCTCTACGAGAAGGTAAGTGTGCAATCTGACTTTCAGATTTTTGAGATCTTGGCCCAAGTCCTCTGGTCAAAATTCAACTCGGATATGCTTTTTGAGGACCTTCTGCCATTTGAATGCAGTACTTGACGACTGCTAATTCACATGAATATCTAGACTGAGTTGCAAAAGAAGCGCTGCCACCTTATGGTTTGAGAAACCTTTCCCATGCAGAGGGCTGCGATTGTCGGGGGGGAGTTCGAGCCCGAGGAGCTGCCCCCTAAGGAGGGTGAGGAAGCCAAGGAGGGAGAGGAAGAGAAGCCGGAAGCAACTTCCTCCGAGAACAAGGAGGATGAAGGTAAGTGCACTGATTTGTGGGGCGCATTGGTTCCTGTTCAAGGGCTCTAGGTACTCGTAAATATTCCATCCTCATCCTGTAAGTTTAGCTTGTCAGGAACTCGACTTTACGGCATGCCATGTCCATTTTGCTGTATCTTCAGTCAATCTTGATCGCTGTCGACCCAAAATCTCTTGTCATATGTGATTGTCGTCACTTTTCATTCGGAAATCTGAAAAGGTTCCGCAAAAGACTGAGGGTCGTGTGGCAAATTTAGTAGATTGGACTTGCCTGGTGCGTTGAGCTTGTATACCTGGCTAAAGCTTCAGTTGTCTCTGTGCTGATGCCTTCTGTAAAGGAGAAATTCAGTGAGTAGGCTGATGCCTTGATCTGGCAGTGGGTCTTACCGGGCTCAAAGAAAAGTGTTTTTGTGGAATTTATCTGATTGATCAGTCCCGAACCATGTTGAGAGGGACGGAAGGGGTTTTCAATCACCCCCCCTCCTGATGATTGCGTTTTCCTGTCTCCGCTTCAATGCTGACAGATGCCCTCACCAGCCTGACCTTTTCTGACTCTGGTCGTGCAGATGTGAAGGGCATCCCCAACTTCTGGCTGACCGCCCTTAGGAATAACCTGACAATCGAGGAGACGGTGAGGCCCCGTCCCTCTCTGATAAGGGGGGTGGATCTGCGTAATCTTGTGTTCTGCATGCTCTTGGGTTCTTAGTTGCTGGCTTCCTGGGGCACAGCGCAGGAAGAGCGAAGTACACTTCAGCTTGACGTCCGAGTTCAGGTAGGATCCCCTTTGCTGCGGACTTTTTGACTCTTTTCAGTTTGACTGCTAAAAACCCGAATTTGTTTGTAGGCTTGAATAAGGTGAGTGCGTGACCAGGATTTTCCCCGCACCAGAATTTGGAGAACCTGATTTGTTCGCCATTCTCTGGGGCGCCAGAATGGGGAACTGACAGACAAATTTGGTTCTGTAGTATTTGGGCTGAACGGTTCCGTCGACTACAAAGTCAAGTTCCATCACAAGCGTGCCGCGCATGTCTGAACTTCGATGACGGATCTTTACTCTTCCAGCTTGAACGAGTGCGCGCTCATTGCCGATTTACCGTTGTCTGAAGCTCTCAACACAGTTGCTGACGTTGTCGCTGATGTCACTCCTTGTGCAGATCTCGGAGAAGGACGAGGGGGCCCTTGAGTACCTGCGGGACATCAAGTGGCACCCGCTCGAGAGCCAAAAGGGCTTTACCCTCGAGTTCCACTTCGCTCCCAACCCCTACTTCTCAAATACGGTGGTGAGTGGCCGTCGATTGTTAGCGCTGCTTCAGCGATGTCGGTGATTCGATGCAGTGGATGTTGCTTGTTGTTTCGCGAAAGAAAAGAAGGGACTGGGAGTCTCGTCTTTCCTTTGTTGGCTCCCAATCGGAGTCGGGGTTTGGCAGCTTTAATGCCATTCGACGCTTGAGTGGAGAGACGAAATAGAGTCCAGAAACTCACTCTCGAAGTATTCAGTAGTTTTCGAAATTGCATTCCAGGTCGGGGATGCAGTCAACCGTCGTTGAGATCCTCGCAGTTGTCCATTATGCAAAGCGCATCTGGTATCAAGTTTGACCCCAACCTACTGCGCATGTCAGACCAGAGTGTGCCGACAAAGGGGTCTTTGCTGCTAAATCCTCGTGGCGCTTATCGCCACCAAAGCGTAAGACAGTCCAACATTCACATTCTTAGTTCAACAGTTCTTTGCGAACGATGACCAAGTAGTACTCCATTGTGGAAGACTGCTTACGATTATTTTTATCCTGGGGGAGAGTCGAGCGCACGTCAACAAACGTTCTGGAGAGTTGAGAAAATTCTTATTCCTGAAAGGACTGGGCTAATGGGTTACCCACCCAACAGATTACGGAATTGCTCAGAACCGTCACCTTCTGCGCGCAGTTGATCAAATAGGACGAGGAGCCGATTTTCCAGAGCGCCGAGGGCATGCCTAGTCGGTTATGGAGAATTTTGAGAAAGACAAATTGTATTCGGGAAGAGTCTGGCTAACGGGTGACCCACCGGGAAGACTCTAGCTAACGGTCACCCACCAATCAAAGCATGTGGGTTTCCGAAACCCAAAATCTACCGCTCGCAGTTGACCAAGTCGTACTACATGGTCGAGGACGAGGAGCCGATCCTGGACCGCGGGCGGAGGGCATGCCTCATCAACCTTTGGAAAATTCGGACAGATGTTGCTTTTCTTCGTTGTTGAGTTACCAACCGAACAAACCACGGAAATTTTATTAAACCCTAAACTTCCCGCCCGCAGTTGACCAAGTCGTACTACATGGTCGACGACGAGGAGCCAATGTTGCAGAGCGCCGAGGGCACGTCTAAATACTTTATTGGAGAAGTTGAAAAAACAAATAGTATCTGGAAAATCCTCAACGGTTCACCCACCGATCAAACCACGTGGGTTTCCTAAAACTAATATCTTCCGCTTCCAGTTGACCAAGTCGTACTACATGGTCGAGGACGAGGAGCCGATCTTGGAGCGCGCGGAGGGGACGGACATCGAGTGGCTGGCCGGCAAGAACCTGACGCAGAAGACGCTGCGCAAGAAGCCCAAGAAGGGCAGCAAGAACGCCAAGCCCATCACCAAGACGGAGCAGGTGCCCAGCTTCTTCAACTTCTTCAGCCCGCCCACGATACCCGAGGACGACATGGACGAGCAGGAGGTGAGCGCGACGCGGCGAGATTTTTTGGGCCGTTACCTCTGGTCTGCTTTCATTTCTATGCTTTTGTATGGAATGAGAGGTCGTGGTCCGCAAATCGTGCCGGTGTGTCGGTTTTCATTTCCTCAACAGCCCGCCCTGGCGGGACCAGAACAGAGCCAAGAGTTTATTCTGAAAATGCATGTTGACGGTCACGGTAGGCTTGAAGACCGGACACAGAACAGCGCGGCGGGGCCGACTCGGGACCCTAAAAGTCCTGTAAACTTTGGTTCTCAAGCTGAAGGACGTTCGAGATCCTTTCGAGATGGCAACCGCGAGTAGAGATAATAGACAGGGATAATCAGCAGGATTTGTGAGCCACTTGAGCTATCCATACCCCTAACTCTGCATCCGCTTAACTCTGAGACGAATGCCGACTTGTTGTAACCTGATTCTTTTGCTGCGCCTTACCCTGCAGGACCAAATCGGGGGCGGACTCACGAGAAACAAGAGACACACGAGAACAGTCAGCTTACGCCTTTAACCTCAGACTTGGTTAACTGTCAAACCTGGTTCGAATTGTGAGCTTATATTTTCTTGGTGTGACCTCTCCCCCTGGCGGAGGAGCTGCAGGCCAGGGGAAGCAGATTACGACCAGGATAGAAAAGACAACGAGTAAAAGCCGTTCAAGTCTTTCACACTCTCTAACCCTACGCCCCGTTAAGCCTGGTTAAATTTGGCCCTTTCCGACGTACAACTTCCCTCCATTCAGGTGGAGGAGCTGCAGGACCAGATGTAGGCGGACTACGACCAGGATGAAAAAGACAAGGAGTAAAAGCTACCCGGTCAACTTTTTCATACTCCCTTACCCTACGCCCCGTTAACCCTGGTTCGAACATCGGCCCTTCCTAACCTGAAAATTTACCCCTTCAGGCGGAGGAGCTGCAGGACCAGATGGATGCAGATTGATTACAAACCAGAGACAAGGAGTCCCAACACGAGAACAGTCGGCCGTTTCGCCTTGAACGGTACACTTGGTTAACCGGCAAACCCGGTTCTGATTGTGTGCTAGTACTTTTGCTCGCCTCTTCCTCAGGCGGAGGAGCTGCAGGACCAGATGGAGGCGGACTACGACGTCGGGTCGGCGCTCAAGGAGAAGATCATCCCGCACGCGGTGGAGTGGTTCACGGGGGAGGCTCAGGAACTAGAGGAGGACGATTATGACGACGAGGAGGAGGGCCTGGATGACGTGGAGGAGGAAGACGAGGATGAGGACGATGACGAGGACGATGATGACGACGAGGATGACGTCCCGCAGCAAAGGGGGCGGAAAGGGGCCGCGGGGCTGCCAGCCAGGGTGAGTGCGCAGCCTGAGTTTACTTCCGTGGCTTCAGTATGGATCTCATGAAGGAACGATACGGGTGTTCTTGAACTGACAGTTTCTCGGTTTTTCATGTCATTTGACGCCTACGCATAGCGATGCCTCATTTGCAAAACCGGCTTTCAGAAGGGACGGTTTCTTGCTTCCATCCATCTTATTGTTTGAATGGACAAGAGTTTGATGTAGTCCTCCGTGTCCACCTCCTGGCTGAAGCTTGCGGGTTTTTGTCTCCTTGCTTGCAGCAGAAAGGGCCAGCCCCTTCCTCTGGAAAGCCTGGGGAGCAGCCCCCTGAGTGCAAGCAGCAATAACAAGCTGGGCATGTCTGGCCCAAATGAACTTAAGCATTCTAGGACACCGTTAGAAATCCAATAATGAAAAGTCGAAGGATAAGACCCAAAGGAGTGGAGTGTTCACATTCTGGCGTAGCTTATGAGCTTGTGCTTTGGGTGCTTTTAAAGCAATAATTGGGGTTTGTGCCTCTCATTTATCGGAGACACATATCTTGTGATGACAGTGAGGGTGCATCTTAACCCAGAAGTCCAGGTCCAACACATACTCTTGACATTCTTGATATTGCAAGTTCAAGGGCTGCGAACATATTGTCACTAATGGCTTGTCGTATTCACTTTTGCACCACGGAGTATTGCAGTGAAACTTGTAATGGTGTCAGCATGCATTGAAGCAATCCAACGTACTTTTGCGATGGTCCGACCATGCACTGCACTAAAGAAACCACGAACTGGCAGACATCAATACCTACGATTGCATCAAATTACCAAACGGCGTAAACAGTTCCGATCGTCATTGCAAAATCATGCCAGACCGCGATCATGCATATACCGGTCGGATCCATAACATGGATTTTATACACATCGTCGCACATGCAGCTACATGGCCGCGAGCTCAGCTATCTAGGCGCTATAGCTCCAATCCGACCGTCACCCGTCTTGATAATGCACGGATACACCAACAGATCGACTCAGCTCGCGCGCTGTACTTGATGCATGGGCATGCGCATGGTGCATTTGGAGCGCGCACTCACTGATTATAAGCTTCGTATACCGTGCAATTGTCCGGTTGCCAGGGCAACAATCAAATATTCTTTCAACTTGCCCACAAATTTGAATTGAAAATAAATTCCAATTAAGGATTTGCAGATCATTTTGCCCGGTAACAAAACAAAATAAATGCATAAATGAAGCTGCCCAAAATCCATGAGATACGAAATTAATTATTGGGCAAAAATCTGCCCAACCGGACAATTGGTACGGTAGGTTGAATCGAACATATGCACATGTCAGTATAGGATCAGCTGTTTATATAGAGCCCATGCATGATTGTCAGGTGAGTTGCAATCTGGAAGGAAAGCAACAAAACGTCCAAAGTGTAGGCTTTGCTTAAAATCTAGCTGCAGTCAGCTATCCATGGGCAGGCCTTGCAAGAAGGATGCCTGTAGCGTATATACCTGCAGAAATTTCGTATAGCTCTTTGTGCTGAGTAAGTGTTCATAAAGTGGATCGAGGTTGTGAAACGTGCAGAGGTCCTCATGAAGAGCTCAGGCGTTCCGAAGTTCAGACCCTTCTAACAAGATGATTCATGAGTAGATGTGCACTCGTCCCGAACGTTCTCACCAGCATACAGTAGCAGATCTAAGCAATCATGCTCCACTTTGATCATCTGGATTTCATTGCATCCAAGTATCTTTTGGGGGAAAGATGCACACAGTGCAAGAGCTTTACCCGCAAGCATTGACCTTTCACTTTCTCCTTCCTGCTCTATTGTCAACCTCCTTGCTGAAGCTTGACAGCTGATCGAAGTACTTTACATGGAATCACCTGCTGAACCACCTGGTTAGGCACCCGGGACTCGCCTACCCGTAGTCTCTGTGCTCTGAGTCCTCTGACTAACATTCCTCCTGTTCGTCTGGCATTTTCTCCATGCACTGAAGGCACCAGCAGTCCTCATCCCCAGTGCAACAATCATCGTCCTCTTCGAAAGTCTGCATCCCTCGTCCATCCAAGGACTCTCTCTCCCGGTGTTGGCTCATGCAGCCGCGGCACACAAACAGCATGTTGCCCTTTGTGTATGTCGGGTCATACGGACTGTCGCACAAGTAGCACTTTTCCAAGTTCTCAGCCTGCAAGCACGTCAAAGAGACGGAGATTATCCAGGCTGTTTGTAGTTCTGGGCGAGCACAGCAGTAAGAAACGATGAGGGGAAAGAACGGCTTCTGAAGAGGCAACCGTACCAGAACTTCTGTTTCGGCAGGTGCGAGTCCTGTATCAGAAGAAAGGTCAAGCATCGCTCAAAGATGCTTCTGACTCGATCAGAGTTGAGCCTCTGCACAAGGTAATGCAGCTTATTACTGCCATCAATACAGATCCTTACAAACTTTCCAAGTTTCAAGCATCGAATTCAGAGTTAAGCGCAGCACTCGAGTTGGTTCCCAACCTTCCCCGGGAACATGCCGTCTGGCAGCAGCGCTGCAAGCCTTTCCACCATGTCATCTTCTGACTGGATGGCAACAGCGAGCCTCTCCCGCAGCTGCTCCCCGCCAATGAACTCCAACACATGCTGCAGCCTCCTCCTCTCAGCACTCAAGGTCGCAGGCTTTCTTGAGATCACCTTCAAGCTACCTGACCTTCCCAATGGTCGCAGCACCTCTGCGGGCGTGCCGTCAACAAAGATTGGCTCCTCGCAGCAGTCTGTGGGGTCTTTTTCCTCGACTATGGTTGACAAAGCGATTGGAGGGACGCTGTGCTGCTGGACATTGTCTCTGCATGGAAAGCAACAGGGGTCAATGGTGCTCATTCAGAAGAAAAAACGTTTGAGCAGATGAGTTGAAGTACCTATTGGATTTGACAAGCAAAAAGCTGTCCGCATTCAGTACCAAGCATGCTACACAGAAGATCAGCAGATTTGTCTTGACAACATAACATAATGTGACCATTCAAAATCGCAATTTTAAACTGGATGTCCATCGGTTTCCAGCTGGAGATGCTGCTAAAAAGAAAGGTGAAACCTTTGCTTCCGACATGGAAGGTTCTGAAGCAGGAGTTGGTATGATAAGAAGGCTGCTTCCCGGCTGCTTGTGCACAAGACCGGTATCTTGAGAAGCAAAACCCTTGCACAGTATTCTGGGAATCTGTCACTTGGAATTCAGTGATCTGTCACTCAAGCAGAAGAAACCTCACCCGTTGTGCCGCTTCCGCATGCTCGACACTTTCATAGGACTTGCCGGAACCTCCAGCATGTGCTTAGGATGAATTTCTGTCGCAACGCGCGCTCTTCCGGTTGTCAAGGTCAACTCCCGCACTCTGCCACAAGTTGGCAATCCTCGCAGCGGTTTCGAAAGGGCAGGGTCTTGCAGTAAATCACGCACACCTAGAGCAAGAGGGGTTTGCTCAGTCGGCCGACTGAGGTTTCGACCAGCCTCATCTCCTTCACAGAAACCCTGTATCGCTTCTCCGCTACCACCTATTTCAGCCTGGCTGGAACAGCATCTATTGGGATCGATGCAACTGGAGGTGGGGACAAAGGTCCCCTCCAAAGGAGGAGCTGGGAGCTCTGCGTCTGTGCCTGCTTCAATGGCGTCGTTGCTACATGCACGCCTGTTGCCTCCGCCTTTGCGACCCTCCAAACCAAATGCCTTTCGCTTCTTCATCATTGAGCAGCATGTGTGAAGGCCAAATGCATTAAATGACGGTTTTGCCAGGATAGACCTCCTCCTGATTTCAATCAAGTCCTCTTTGGTAGTCTACTCTGCCTTGCTGTGGTTGCTGAAAGCGGCAACTAAAACATGCTGGATAAAAGGCACCCGCATGTACCTAACTGCGTCCTGCACCACTTGAGCAAGCTCTACCTGCGCTCTATCTTCTTGGACTCAGTGAAACATGTGCTGAAAGGCGAACGCTTGCAAGTTGCCGCCCTAAGCACTAGGTGTTAGGTAGGCACCTACGTAAACCGCACACACACAGTACACTACTAGGTATCCAGGTGTTTTGGATGTTGCGCAGCAGGCCACAGTTGCAAACTGCCAGTGGCAGCGCCAGCAGGCGCCAAAGCTTGACTCTCGAGCTTTGAGCCTTGAGGGCGCTTCTGTTTCCTCCCTAGCTGGATTATTTGCAGGGCAGAATTTTGAATTCAAACTAAAAATTCTTGCCAGCACGGCATAGTCTGAGTGCGACAGCACGGTGCAACCCCTCAAACCCGGCGCGCTCCCTCCGAAGCGGCGCGGCCGCACTGAATGGTGCCGCGCGACAGGCGCAGCTAGCTCGGCGCACGAAAATTAAAATCACTGAAAAGATCCCCCTCATCCCCCATGTAACTTGCTCTGAAGTACGGGACATAGGGACAGGAGCCCGGCAGGAGGTGTTTAATTGCCACCATGGCTGCCATGGTGCGCATCATGTATCCTGTGCGAAGTGTGCATCGACTCGAAGTTTTGTTTGCTGTCTCGGGGCTGCTCTCTCTTCCTAGCTTCCTCTCTTATAGGTCCGGATGCAACAAGAAGAAGACCACGTTGTAGGAAGCCTAATAGCTAGCTTGAGGGCTAACTTAGGAACCTTACGAGATCTGGTTGTTGCAATTAGAGCCCAAGTGGAGCCCAAGCCGCGCGCGCTCGTCGTAGTAGCTTGTTTGAGAGACTCCGGTAAAGAAGGTCTCAGGCTGAGGAAGATTGATGGTGAACATTGACAGCACACATCATATTGTGTATGCGCCATGAGAAGCCTATACGGCCAGCCCAGGTGGCTACGGCGTTTAAAGAAAACATTGAAAACGGTACCACATTAAGGGCCACATTGCCGCGCGATGGCAATGAAGAGGATTAAACATCGTGGAGAACAATGTGTCTGCAATGCAATCCTCGGCCACTGGCCACCATGACCGTCTCAAGCCATTACTCAATTGGACCGCGAAAAGTCGCACATTGCTATAACCCTACACTTCCTGCACTACTTTGACAACATGGCCCGCACGGCATGGGTTGCCCGCAAGCGAGCAAAGTGCATTGATAGTAATTTCTCATTCATTAACGCGCCATTTTAACCACTGGAAAACCATGGAGCACAATGTCTGGCAAACCTGGGATAGTTTGTTGACTCGGACGCTGTCGTCAGCTTGCTATGGCTGTTTGAAGTCATGTCCGGACTCAATCTTGCACCATACGGAAATCCTAGCAAGACTAGATTCCTGATCGAGGATAGTTCAAATCAAAGAAGATCATGCAGGCTACGAACATCCATTGCAATATAAGCAAGTTACCACCTCCTTTTTGGCAATGCCAGCAAAACGCCGTCAGGCGTGGCATTGCCTTGTATTAACCCTGTACGTCCTCTCCCGTTTCCGCCTCCAGAATCCATTGCCGGTCAACATTAAAATTTCAACGACAGTCTGAAGTGAAGTTCTCAAAGTTGTAACTCAGTATCTTTAAACGAATCAGGAGCCTGAAAAGTTGCAACCAGTTCCAAAAGTTCTACGATGGCCTGTACGGTTGCACCGGGTACCCTACCGGGCTCGATTATAGCCCCAGCTGTGCCCGGCGGAAGAAAGAATCTTTGGGCCACCGCGACATTATTTTGTACCGGGCGTCGTCGTACGGCATTCATTTCCGCATCTAGAGTGGGACGAATCTCAAATAAGCGAGGGAGCTGCGCATTGCCATTTTTCGCGATTGATAAATCGCCCCCAGAACTTGTCTGTTAAGACATTATGCGGAATCTTTAATGAATCTTGATTACCATCCAAAAGGTTTGTGTGACAAAGCCTTTTGATCCACGTCTTTGGTGGCAGCTGTTTCAAACCTGTTAAACTGACAGCGTCGCACTGCAAAACCGACGCAGCTACGGAAGTATTGCATTGCCTGCACTATACTGTTTTTCATCGCCCATCTATGGGGAACCGATACTCTGCTTAACTTTTGTACACATCCTGGGTATCTTTGCCGGACATGCCCGACCTACACTTACACCCGTCTCGATTTGAAAGACTATATACTGTCTCTATAATGAATCTACATGCACTATTCATTATCCTACTATTATCAGTTTAAGCGCCTATTGGTCTATCAGCCCTGAATTGGGATTTTCTTCGGCTCCGGCTTCTTTGGTGCCTCTTTCTTTGGGACGCGAATGGACAGCACGCCGTCTTTGAACTGGATAGAGGAGAAAAATCTAGATCAGCCGGGCCTAGCTTGGGTTTGATGCTAGCAACATTTCAGACGCATGGAAACACTGACTTTACTGATGTCCTCCTCGCTGAATTGGACAACATACCTTACCAACACGCTTTGAGAAAAATGCCCGAAGAAACTTTTGCTTTCAGAATGACAAATGGCTTGCTGGAAGACCGTCCCAAGTCGCCTGGCAACTGAATTTCCTCAGGAATGATGGATGGATTTTGAGCAGTTGCGCTACGTTTGAGGGATATGAGAGAAATAGACATTAAAGATATATCTGCCACCTCCCAACGAACGGACAAGCATACGAAAGAAAAGGAACTAAAACGTCCGCCATAGAATTACAATGCAAAAATGGCCATTGTACAACGCATTGAACCAGCTCTCAGACGAAAGAGCTGAAAAGATTTAACTGTCTTGTATCCAAGACCGTCGAAGCTCTTAAAACACCTCCGGTCAGACAATCGCCTGAGACAGTCGACTGAGATGCTGACGTTTGCATTCAGTGCCGAATGACGCCAGTGCAGTGGGCCTCACCTCGTCCTGCAGCCCGCTCTAGTTGGTCCCATCTGGCACCCGGCACTAGCACATTGGACTATGAACAATCATGACGTCAGCGGTCAGAGAAAAAGCAGACGTCAGCAGGTCGAGCTCCTTACCTCCGCCTGCACGTCGTCTGCGTTGGTCTCGTCCGGCAGCCGCAGGCGCGTGTCGACATCCTGCCAGAAGCGTTGGTCGTCGCCCTCCTGGGCCTCGTGGTGCGCAGTGATGCGCAGCATCGGCTCGTCCGTATCTTCCACCGTAATCTGCACCTCATCCTTCTTCAGACCGGGGAGCTGCAGCTGCGCAGCGGCAAGCAGGAAAGAAAGAAAGTCAGCTACGATAAAAGGTCAGGCTTCATCTGAGCTTTGACATGCACGGTTCTAATGCCGTCCTTGTGCAGAACCGCTCTGCAAGTGGTCACACGCGCCGAAGAGGGGATGATAACAGGAGAAATCAACTGAGGAAGGTGTATTGATTGCGCAGGCTGAGTTGAACTTTCTGCAACCCCCTGGAGCTTGCACTTGTGTAAAGAAGGAACATAGTAAATGACAAGTTGGATTTAAGAAGGGAGCTTCCATCTTCGATCAAAGCAAGGATGTCAGGTGGGTGCTTGTCTAATTGCCTGTCCACACAGCTCTGTAGCTCAGTATAACTGCCATCATTTCAGTAGCATGTTGTACACTGGAACTGAGAAAGACCCGTCAAACCCTGGTAAACTCGCCAAAGAAAAAGGTTCACTGGCAAGCTCAATGTGCCGCTTCCGAGGGCATAACCTCAGAAGACTGTTATCAGTCCTAGCTAGTGACGTACCTTAATGGTGTACTGCTTGTCGCTTTCATTGATGTCGAGCTGCGGTGGCTCGACGGGCAGCGACGGGAGAATGTCGCGCATCGCCTGGTCGAAAAAGCGGCTGGGGGTGAGGAAGAAGTTATCCATCATGTTAAGCAGGTCGCGGTCCCCGCGCGCCGAGAAGAGCGGGCCCATATCTGCGGGGTTTAGCAGGGGTTTAGGCTCTATTTAAATTTCTGTGAAAAAGTAGGGGCGATCACCGTGTGTGAAGTAAAGCAATGAGGTGTTGCAGGGGCTCTACTTAAAGCAGAAAAGGGATATGTTTGAGGAAACTACTCCCTGGAGAAAAGCGGATAAAGGTCCGCAGGCTTGTACTAATAGTTCAACTTCTGAGAAGGGCTGCCGACTCTTACGACCGTGACTTGAAGTACTTTCTAAATGGCACTGACCCTTCTCAAGTTCTGATCAGCTTTGGTCTTTCAAAGATACAATACCATAAATGACTGAAGGAAAAGGAAATGACGACTTTATTAAGGCGCGAAATTGTGAGCCCTGTTCCTCCTTGCTTTCAGGTTGACACTTATTCGTGAGGAAGTCTGGACTTCTCACCAAAGTGCTTGTCTTAGTTGGGCAAGGGGTCAATCTTGAACAATCCTTCCAGTCAGCTTTGAATTGCTGAAGAAGGGATTTGATGGTCAGAAAAGAAGTACAGGCGGCGAGGTACGTGCAGGATAAAAGCAGCTTGCACACCGCGCTCCTTGATTGATAAGGTGGTGTAATTGGTGTCACGCAAGATTCAAAGACCGACCAACTTCTATTTCTAAAGCATGTTAAACCTACCACGAGTGAGCATGACAACAAGCTCCCGTCAGAGAAGCCTGGAAGGTTATCCACCACTCTGATGTCACCCATGCAATTTAAAGGGCACTTGTACTCGGAACGACTGTGCTTGAAAAGCGTGTAACAAGAACAGGAATAGACAGTAACTTAGGACTACTGGCTCTGACTGCCTCAGAATGTCAAGGTGGATGAACTGAAATTGTTCAAAAGTTTCCTTTGCTCATTTTGCTCCTCTTTTCTGCTCCTCTTTTGAAAGGAAAGTAAATCCTGGAGACTAAATCTCGAACATTATTCGCAAGTGCCCAGTCATACACATGAACAGAAGGAATGCCATGCACCCTGAATTGACTCAATTTCTCTGCTTATTGCTTACCAAACGAGAATGGGCTTAGCCGTCCCCTTCCAATGCCATACCCCTGGCCCCTGTCCTGGTCCCTGCGCTGAGCATCTGAATCCCGATCCCCTTTGACAGCCACGTCAGAGTGGCCCTCAGAACCACCAACCCCTGATCTTTGTCCAACATCACCAGGACCCTTGGTGGCATCATTAATTGCAGTGCCGAAGCAGCGCGCCACCCGTGTGGCGGTTTCCGAAATCACAGGCCTGCCAAGAGCTACTTGAGTTGTGCTCGCGCCGGGCAGGTGCGTAGAGCTTGTGGAGCAGACGGCGCGGGCGAGGGGAGCGGTGCGCCGCAAGAAGCTGGAGAGCTGTGAGCTGGCCATATTGCTTGAACAATGATGCAATTTTTTGCGGGAAAGATTTGGAGGAAGGAAGGCAGCAATGCCATGGCGGACGCCATGATGCGGATGTATTCAGCACTGAGCAGACTTTCAAGAACTTCTGCTGCTTCTAGAAGGATCTAGCCTCTAAGAAAGTGAAGCAAGCAGCAATGCAACATTTGCATGCAATTTTCAAATTGTTGCGAAACCTTCAAACCCCCTGCTAGGGAAGGGGCGCGGCCGCCCGGGCGGCATCCGCGGCCGCGCACGGTTGAGTCGGGCCAGGTGCCTAACTTTAAGTCTTCATTGCCGGCCATGCGGATGCTCGTGGACTTCGTAATCAAGACAACCAACGCAACCGGGCCATCCGATGCACCCGATGTCGAAGCAAGAGTTCACGCAACTAAGCTATATTCAAGCCAAGTGACGTCGAGATCCAGCAGGTGGGTCGGCTGAATTCGGGTGCGCATGACATGACTTCCATGTTCAGGCTTGATTCATTAGCCCGCTCGACAGATTGATAATGCATCATTGTTTGAGCATGAATAATGTGCTTTCGAGCACACGAACCAACTTTTTCGTGGTTAATCAATGGGGCACTACTAAAGAATTGGGCCAAAGGCCCCCAGATAGGCGTGGTGTAAGAGACGCAACCAAACGTCTCGCTAGAAGTTCTGTCCAACTCGGCAATGAGCAACGTTCTAAGCTGCGCTGAAAGCATTGCTGTCAAACAGCTGTAATATTCACCGCTTGGGCTCTTTCTATTCACAGTGCTGATTTGCAGCGGCGCAATGTTTTCGTAGCGTACAAAGAACTTGAGCAGGACGCCTTCTGAAGGGTTCGGATTACGCATGAATAACGGATGCGCTATCAATCAACAACATCAAGCACCGTCTACTGCTGGCAGTCGTCGATCCGGTGACTTGCACTGAAGCAAATCACTAGGAACAAATATTGGAGATGGGGCCTCATAAATGAATGAGCAATTTTGTTGACTCATGCAATTTCGGAGACGTACCGAATCGCTTTGAGGAGGACGTTGAACGGACAGTATTCTCTATAGCACCGTGATAAGCCTTACTGCCAAGAAAAGTGCCATAAAGGGCTACCTCTCTCTCTATACAGGAGAAGATTGGTCGCGCAGCGAACAGATTCCGTGTCTTACAGGCCCCTTTTTTCCTGACCTTTCTCTGCCAGCCGCCAAGAAAGTCGTCAAGCTACATTTCGCCCCACTCAAGCAAGTCTTTGGACGACATTTGCGCGTATCATACTTCTCCGCACCAGTTTCTTAACATGTCTCCACCCGTCAGCTTTACCGCCTGCCTATATTCGCGCCATGCAGACCCGGCTTAAAACCTATGCCCCCCATCCTATCACTGACTGCATCTCTTCCCATATCTATAAGTTGCTTTCCGAACGGATCCATTGGTTCGTTAACCGTGGACGGGGATCCTCTTCGGCTCCGGGTTCTCCGGTGCCTCTTCTTTTGGCACGTGGATGGTCAGCGTGCCGTCCTTGAACTGCACACCAACGGGGAGCCTTAGATCAGTAAAAACTGCTTTGGAATCTCCATCATGGTGACCAGAAGATCGACATTTTCAGAATTATCGGATGTGGCCGAGAAGCGAAGCAATTACGCACGCTCCGTTGCAAAGCTGCGCAAAGAGGGGATCATTGCCGGGACCGAAAAGGAGTTCCGAGTCCCTGCTTTCAATTTCTGAGCCAAATGCAGGCATGTGACTTCCCGACGTGACTGCCCGACGTGGATGTCTTCAAGTCCAGAAAGAAGAGGAGAGACGAGAGGCTTCGCCACCGAGGAAAGCGGGACTCAAGGTTTACGAGGCGCGCAGATAAGGCAATCTCCGAGACATCTCTCCATCGCTTCGGGGGGGGGGGGCAAATGAAAAGAAAAACGACGACGTCAGCGAAGCTAAGCGCCTCATTCCCGCTCATACGACCTCCGGGTTAGTCCGTCGGCTGCAGACGCAGGGGCGTCTCCCAAAAAAACACAACACTATAAGAGACAGAGGACGTCATGAGAAACATGACGTCAGCAGACGGAGCACCCACCTCGGCCCGCACGTCCTCCGGGTTGGTGCCGTCCGGCAGCCGCAGGCGCGTGTCGACGTCCTCCCAGAAGCGCTGGTCCTCGCCCTCCTTCGCCTCGTGGTGGGCGGTGATGCGCAGCGTCGGCTGGTTGGGGTCGTCCGGGTCCACCGTGATGTTCACCTCGTCCTTCTGCAGCCCGGGGAGTTGCATCTGCGGAGGAAAAGGCGGTTCACGGGATTTCACAAGGGCTTTACGCGGGTTTACCTCTAAACCGACTGCCACACAAGCTTAGCCGTGCGGTGTCACCATCGTGATCTTCACCTCGTCCTTCTGCAGCCCGGGGAGTTGCATCTGCGCGACCGGGATAAGACGTCAAACGGAGAGATAAAGCAACCGTGTTGCTTATGCCATCCGTCTTCAGCCCATGAAGTTGCATCCAATGACCGGGGGAAAAGTTTTAAGCGGGCAGAAGGCGTTCCACGGAAATAAGAGTGACGGTCACCTCGTTCTATTTCAGCCCGGTGAGTTGCATCTACGCGACCGGGGGAAAGACGGTGAGCGGGGGAAAGACGAAAATGGGGAGATTTCAGTTGACCGGCGGCAAAGCCGGTCCCCGGGGGGTAGATTCAAAAAGAGCAATTGCGCTTTCCTGCCCTGCGTACGGGCGCTTCTCTCGAGTAGTTCGGACGCTCAAAGATAAAGCTGGTCGCGTCGAGCAGATGGACGTTGAGATTGTCAAATAATCGCAGAACTCTTTGTCCTCATGCCTTCTCCTGAAGACGCTGTCAAACTCTGAAGAAAGAAAAACTGTACAATCGCCGCACACTTTTAGATTGTCGAACAAATCAGAAACCAAAATCCGCCCAAAAGAGGAACTCGACTTCGATACCGTCTGAAGTGATCCAGGGGATTCCGGACGAGCGATTTACCTTGATGGTGTACTCCTTGTCGCTCTCGTTGATGTCGAGGCGCGGCGGCTGCACGGGCAGCGACTGGAAGATGTCGCGCAGCGCCTGGTCGAAGAAGCGGCTGGGGGTGAGGAAGAAGTCGTCCATCATGTTGAGCAGGTCGCGGTCGCCGCGCGCGGAGAAGAGCGGGCCCAGGTCTGCGGGGTTTAGACAGGGTTTAGGCAGGGTGAAAACAGAATTTGTGGAGGCAGCGTCTCTGAAACTTCTGAATGGCTTCCGCTTTCGAGATCCGGTGTTCAGTCCGTCTCGAGACGAGGACAGAGGGGAGACAGTGCTTTTGGAACCTCTCACATCACGTCGCTTGAAATTTCGTACTGCACGATCTTCCCACAAGAGCCCTGGGTATAATGCTGCATCCTGGCTTTCGGCGCTGAGAAAAGAATGTTGCTCTCGAGTTCAAAACCAACTCTTTGAGAGCAGAAGCAAGATTTGCTTTGCGAGACCGCTCTTCTTTCGGGGAAGGACGAGTCCTGGAAGCTTGGCATGTCAGAGAGTCGAAGCTGACCAGACCTTCATACATCAAAGATTCTAGGTTACTACATCAAACATTCTGGGTTACTCCGTTTTTCCTTTTCCCTACAAGCAGACAAACAAAAGAGACAGAACTGCGTACATTGTGTGAGTAGGATCTGGTGAAATGCAATGAAAGGAATGAACAGAATGAGCTACACTCTGCAGTGCGGATACCACGTGCGTTTTGCTCTTGACAAACAAATTCAGGGCCTCTTAAGGAACATCAGCTAAGGACCATGAAATAAGGCTTCGTTTCTGGATGAGATCTAAAAATCCGAGCAGGGTTGCGTGTTTCTCCCTGAAGCGTCGTGCATGCGAAAGCGAAGGAACGAACTTCGTGTAAATCATGCATGCAGAAAGAGCTGATTCCCATCTTCGGAGCAAAACAGCAAAAAGGAAACGATTTAGCATGATTCAAAATGTGGCTTTCTTTCATTGATAAAAGCCTCTCCAGAACGTGAAGAAAACTACAGAAAAACTTTCATCAGCACGAAACCCATTCGCTTATTTCAATCTAACAAAGCTTCGTCCAACATTCTTCGTCTTTCACAAGACATCAAACAAAGTTTTGCAAGGTAGAAAGCAATCTCATGCAACTCAGAACGAGCAAAAAGACCTCTTGCTCACCAAATGAGAACGGGCTGAGGGCACCGCCCCTCCCTCCCCTCCCCCCTCCTCCCCTCGTGAGTCCATACCCCTGGCCTCTGTCCCGGTCCCTCCTTGCCACATCGGAACCGGTACCCCTGTCGCCACTGACTGCCACGTCAGACAGGCCACCAGCATCACCAGCGTCACCGACAGCTGAAGCGCCGCTGGCGTCGCCAGCGCGCCTGGAGCCGCGCCCCTGGTCGGCCGCGGCCGCGGTCGCGAAGCGGCGAACCAACCGGGAGGCGTTCCCCGGGGACTCGGTCCTGCCGAACGCGGCTTGGGAGATGCTCACCCCGGGCAGGGGCCGCGCGCGCGTGGGGGACAGGGCGCGGACGAGCGGAGCGGTGCCCCGCAGGAGGCCGGCGAGGGCGGAGCTAGCCATGCTTGAGAGAGTTTGCGGGTTTTCTGGAGAGAGATGAAGGGGAAAGTGGCGTTGGCAAGCTCTTTGCAATCTTCTCTGCTTTCTTCCAAGTTCAAGACGACTTGATTTCGACTGAGTCCTGCTAAGCAACCTGATTGAATTTGGTCGCAAGCACTATTGTGTTCCCAGCGTTTGAGAGGAGGGGCTTGCTTCAATGTGCTTCAATGCGCAAAGTCCAAAAAGGATTGAGGCTTGCGCTGAGAGTCAAAATTGTCTCGTGCAGCTGTTCTCGTCTTCGTCTCCTTCCCGGCCTGCGCATCGAGTCCGCTCTTCTAGACTTCGAGCTGATTTGAATCATCAGGGATGATCCGACGTGGACGCAATTCACGAGGGACTGGTTCATATCACAAGTTGATTCGAACCAGCTTTTCGGAGGGCCAAGCGCTTTCGGCATGCACCGTGCATTGCGCGTCCGGCTGGTCAAGAACAGGCTTTCAGCACCTGAAGCAAGCTATGAATGAAAACCTCCTTCAAGGCTTGCAGGTCAACACCGCGCACGGCGGCCGCGTCGCAAGGATCCGCGGCCGCGGCCGCCACGGCGTGAGCCGACGACGCGCAAAGCAAGCTTCATGCATAAGGAAGTCCTCGTCTGGCCACTTTTGAAAGCCTCGAGTGGAAATCAAGCGCCCCAAATCCCAAGTAGGTTTCTTATCAAAGCAGAACAGAAGGCGGGGGGAAGGAGGATGGTCAGGTTGAAAGAAACCTTTGCAAGTGCGCTGCCCTAGGCCTTCCACAGTGCTGAAACTGAGTTTTCAGTTTTAAGATCTCGTTCTGCGCTTGAGCAGCAAAGGACAATCAGAGAGGCGTTGCTGTGTCGAAGTTCAAAGCTTGCGCGTCGCTTCGGAAGGTTGCTGCAGGCAGACTTTGCGATCGGAGAAAGGTGCTGGTGACCAGCTTTCCAACGATTTGAAACTTCTACATCCAACAGAACGGTGAGCAAATCTTCAACTTTCCACGAAGGCGGGTACACAGCTCCAAGGTCAGGAGCAAATATGGGCTCTACCTCGGACTCCAGAGAAAATTGTGATGTTGATGTAATTGAGGCTGTTTTGAAGGGAGCAGTGAGAGAATTTGCATTAACCTCTACATGAAGCTGCAGAGTTCTCGATAGTAAAGATGTTCTTCAAAAGGTCGAGGATGAGGCACGAAAGACTGAAAGTTGTCCAGCTTCCTCATCATCAGGAATGGACGTAACTTCCACATGCAAGCAAAAAGCTTTGATCTGGCCTGTCATGGATCTGGCTAGGCCTTGACAAACAACAAAGTGCTGCACTGCAAGTTGGCCTGTCCTGGGAGCAAGGAAAACCCAGTCAAGCTTTCGAGAACATGCTGGTCAGCATAATTGCATCTTCTGCTTGCTACTGCTTGCTACATTTGCGTAACATACTGATGCTGCAAGGTTAGCAGACGTCAAGATCCGTGTAGCACTTGACTCTTGCATATTGATGCGCAGGTCCGACATGGATCTGCTATCCACGTTTCAGGCATTCTTTTGGGGACCTGGACCGCTCGTGAAAATCTTTCTGGGCATCCTGCTTTTCGTTGTCTATGTAAGTGTCCCGCCTTCCTTTTTACCATCTGACTCTTACGGAAAACTTATATATGGCTCTTCAAGTAAATCAAGTTTTGCGAGTCATTTTCTCTGGGTCAGTATCTGCTCGACAAACTCAATCTGCAAAAGAGATATCAGAGCTGATGGTAGTCACGTCCAGTTCTTTCACTAAGAACTTCCTCAAAACAGCTGTTAGAAGCTCCCATGCTTCAGATTTTGATTCCGTTTTACGGCCGGATTCCCCAAACTTGAGCACCAGTATCAGTAAGCCACATCTCAAAATTCCGCGATCTGCTGTTCAGGGTTTTCTTCGTGAATGTAACGTCCCTTCTCTTCCAAAACGCCGAAGTCGAATCTTAATCCAAAGCTCTTTTACAGACAATGGCGTTTTGCACGGTTGCTGAAATGGGCTTCCGCTTGTGGAAATTTGGCCGCCCCTACGTCCGTTTTCTCAGCGACTTCATTAATGAGGTAAGGGACATCCTGTATGATCTTGAGCAGTTGAGTAACCCTCTGATGATCTTGCTTAACCGTTGCGCCAGCCACACGCTCTTCCTGCAAAAATCTGCAGTCTTATCAACTATGAATGCTGGTTACATCACGAGATCAACAACGGTTCCACTGATGTCTACGAGCAACCTTCATGTTCAATTAAAAGATTATCAGGTTGTTTGATATTACGTCTTCAAATAACAACCTGTTCTGAGGTGCAGTAATTCTCGATTGAAGGATTATATGTTTCTTCAGATTAAAACTGTTTAGTAGCCATTTTTGTCGGGAAATGCGTGCTTCATACGATCATTCTGCGGTTCTTCTGAATCACAATCATCGTAGACCATAAAAACAATTCTGTACACTCGCGATATGCAGCTTTTTGAGGAGCCGCTTTTCCAGAATTCCTTCAACCTTCTCTTTGCGGTGAGCTCTCAGTCCAAATGCGCGTCCCTGAGCTGCTTAAGTTGGCTCCGCAAACCTGACGAGACGGGACCCAATGAGCGTTCTCGTGGTGGTTGCTGTGCAGCGATCAAAATTTAGCTGTATTTTTCGTCTATCTGAACGGTTGAGATCCAGCGTATGGCCATGCAAAGTCGTTCGCTCGTTAGAATGATTCTAGTGTAACATCTCTCGTAGTGCAAGGGATGAATAGGTCTGAAAACCTGTGCAGATCTCGAATACAGCGGTTCATGATCGGAGAATACGCGCGTTTCCCTCCCTATTGAGGAGGACATGCTCCAATCTTGATTGTGGAAACGAGGCGCTATCTTCTTTTCTGCAGGTTACGGAGCTCCCGTTCCTCTATTCTTCCTTCGCGATCTGCGCCCTCTCGAAGCTCGTCCGCGCTGCTTTCCGCCCCCTCCTTCCGCTCGCCACAAAGGGTATCTTTGAGCCGATCGTTGCACTGGTATACCCGCCAGACCAATACGAGCCCTACCTGCTGCCCGCAAAGTTTAGGCTCGACGTTATCGCGTGGTTCTCCCTCAGTCCCCTGGCAATCTTGATCTCGCTCTGGATGTTCCCTCTCAAGGAGCCGCTTGGTCAACCGCTCGCCTCACTCGGATCGCTCGGGTTCCTGCTCGCGCTTTGGTCCCATCCTCCGGTGATCATTGCAATGATTTTTCTCGAGATGTTTCTAAGGGTAGGCTCGGCTATCGAGGATCGGGTATTCCATGACAAGGAAACAAGGTTTGGTGTTGAATAGAATAACAGAGCCAGAGAGCGATAGTGCACATTGGTCCGACTTGAGGAGAAAGCATCTGGGATTTGGAACAATGGCCGGTTAATGACAAGGTTTGTTTGAAGACGGTGAAAGCACTGCCAGGCTATATTGCTTCAAGCATCGGACGCTTGAATAACCGCTCGAAGTCCTTGGTGAACTCTAGTAGCGAGAGATAGAGCTTCAAAAGATTGCATTCAAAGCTGCAGCTTAGAATGCAATATGGCCCTGAAACGATTCGACGTTTGAGTCTGTCAACTTTTCAAAAGCTGGCATCCTTGTTAAGGGGATAATTTTGCAATCAGACGGCACGATAGAACTCATTTGGGTTCGTGAAAGCGCATGTGTAATGAGCAGTGCACCTGTCTTGTGTGGCGGCTGCCTTTGAGAAGAGTCTTCAGGCCACAGACGTCCTTATTGATCTGCAAGCATGCAAGTGCTTGGTAGTGACAAACTCTTTTCATAAGGACTTGAAACTTCGGATGGAATCTGCTTCGCTTTTGGAAGCCATCTATGACTCCAGCTCCACAATACCCAATAGAAGCATGACTGGTCGATTGGATTCGGCATCATTGAAACATCTAAGACCAATTGCCAGGTTGCATGCCGTGTTGGCAAAAGGAGTCCCGTTCAGCCAAGACTGCACTTGGAAGAGGGTCTCGCTTAGAACGGCTGCAACATACAGTAGTCTACCTGCAGTAGATTTCGAAGTGCACTCAAGCATCGAGGATTCGATTGGAGCGCAGACCTATTGGGTACCGACTCAGAATTTCGGAGCATTGAAAATTTCCTGGAAGGTGCTGAGCACGCTCATCAAAGTCGCAGCCGAAGCCGGTCCTTGACTTCGATTTTCACCGCCGGTTCTGCGGAATCCGCTACTGTAGTCAGCGCAGAATTCAGAAATCCGAACGTCAGATGCTGCGTCATGCGCAGCATATCGAAACGCTGCTAAGCAAGCAAATTTTCCCGTGACCTTAATCTAAATCTTTGAGACTCTTGGCCTTGGATCAGCATGCAGAGTAGCGAGAAACGTGCTCGTGACATCTCCATCTCCATCAATTGCCGCGCATGCACCGTTGCGCCAGCAAGAGCAGACCATTGGCGTTCATAGTGCGAGGCAGAAGCAGAGGAAGAAACTCAGCGCAAGCAAGGAGCGCCGTCAGGAGACTCTGGATCCTAAGTGAAGATTTTCACCTTTCTCCTTCCTGGTCTGCAGAGGCGTTCAGCAAAATCTACGGGTAAGGATTTCATGGTTTGTTTGTAGCTCGGCGTGAAAAGGAATTTACGCAAGAAGGCCTTGACCTGGAAGCTTACGAAGAAGGCAACACCTTGAAAGCCGGCTCCTCTACTCAGAGTGGAACACACAGCTTTTAAATAATGCATGTGTTTGATTGATAGTGCATGATGCTGCTTCAGTTCTTAGGAAAATGGTTGGAACCTAGTCAAGGTCTATGCTTTGCCAGGCCCGATACTCTGAGAGACAGGATTTGAAAAGAAGAGAATGTTGAAGAGTTGATAAGAAGTCTTCGACCGACTGCTTCAAAAATACTTTATTATCCTTGTTCTGCTTGGATTTTCTGTATCGGATTGCAGGACTTTATCTTGAGAATCCCTGCTTGCTGCGCAGAGATCCAATGGACCTGCCCCAAGTTCCACCTGCGATTCGGAGGTTCCTTCGCCAGCATGGCTTGCTGGAGAAGGTTCTCTACTATCTTCCTTGGATCATCGGCATTCTAGCGCTCTCTGTGAGTCCCAGAAGTCTTTCTCCGTTGCATGGTCAAATTTCGAAGCTTCTAGGTCGTTGGATTTGAGTAAGCAGGACATTACAGACGCATAGTAGCTTTCTGAGTTTGAAGAACTAAACACCTGGAGTTCTCAACCATCCGGGCCTCTAGCAGTTCACTGATCTGTTACAACCGCACATGGTAAGCCACGAAATCAGCCTTACCAGTTTGTATGCAGGGCGGATGATATCCACCTTGCTTGGAAAATACTGCTATTCTAATAATCCATCTATGCGCAGGTTTTCACGACTTTGGGGCTCTTCGGGGTAGGCTCCCAGGTCTGGAGGCTGTGCACAAGCTTCTGAATGCGGGTAGGACCCAGCTTTTCTTGTAGAGCCTCACAATTTATGCTTCTGAGCCAGTACGATCGTTCGGCGTTTGGCTGCAGCGTGTTTACAATCCTGGGGTCTCCAGGCATTTCGCATTCAGTTGGATCTTCTTTTGAAGCTTTGGAAACCTGGAAATCTGCAGTTGAGAATAGTATCTTCTTAGTCTGGATCTAGGGTTGTCGTAACCTTCTTTGCTTCGTCTCTCCCCTTCGAGACCAACCTTCTCACATTGCACTCGATTCAAGCAAACCTTCACATCTGAGTCTTCGAGCTCGCATCTTTCAGCTGCTTTCAATAGTAGCGTTTTGAATCTCCCTTGAAAGTGGTTGCTTTCTCTGTGCAGCCTTTTGAGAGTCCGTCGGCATGCGCTCAGATTCTTTGCAAGGTAAGCAGCGAGAGAACTCACCGTGTTCCAGAATCCAGGGTTCCAAATAGGCATCCTTACGAGCAACGCAGCACAGCAACGACCTCCAAAAGCACAATACTCGCGCCTCTCTGCTTACCAGCCTTTGCTTCCAAAATTGTGCCTCGACCGCTCCGCCGATCGTCATGTCTGCTATTCTGGCATCCAGAGCCGCCGCTGCTTTTCAGTTTCTTAGTGCGTCCGCAATCATGCTTCTTTTTTCAGTACCGCGCAGCTGTTGCACCGTGCCACAGAAACATCAGATTGTCCTCCAGAAACAAGCTCGATGGTGGTGCTTTGCAAAAGCGGCTTGATTTGTTGGTCATTGCAACGCAGCGGCTCTCGCGTGTCAGGGAGGCCCCATCAAAGTAAGGTGTTTTCAAAGGCAGCTATGGAGTCGGCTTTTGGATATCACTTTGAAAGAAGTTGTCCGCTTTTAAGCGCACAAGATAACATTTCCTCTAATCTTGATTTTGCAGATGTCGAAGGTCCCCTCTCTCGTCCGCACTTTCCTTCAACCGCGCCGCCTCGCGCAGTCACCTGAGCACCTTTTCGCTTGAGTTCGTAACATGCACGTGGTTGGAGTTTTGCAATCTCGTTATATCTAGCGTTTCCATAGATTTCGAGTGAGACCTAAAACTTTTGCTTTCGAGGACAGCCCTTCAGAAGCCAGATTGAATCTCTTTGATCTTGGAGCTCAGTACTCGCCAGGTCTTCAGCATCTCTTACGTGGGATTAAGCTTCCCGTATCATCTCCTCTCAAATCTTTCAAGTGCCGCTAAATACACCTCTCTGCGGTTTTGGGCTGTTGCTTATACTGTGTATGGCATAGTAAGTTGGTGATCATGGTCGAACCTCACCGCGCCACTAACGCTGAGGCAACGTTTAGTCTGAGTCTCAAAGGCTACTGAGCTTTTTTAGGGACATCCTGATCTTATAGTGGACCCAAATGTAAAGCGAAGCACCCGAGTTCGTTCATAAGCCCAACTATTGCGGCCCCATATCAAGGCGGCAGGATTTTCAAGGGCGTATGTACAATCAAGTATCTATCTTTGCAATGTCATCGGGACGCATCCAGGATTTGCTTCCAGCCTACATGGGAGATGCATATTCAAATATTGCTCGTAAGACATGCTTACATAACCATGCTGCCTCTCTGAAGGGCATTGTTTAAGATTTAAGCGGCCTGATTGCATGCAACTTTCACGCGAGCTCGAGCGCGATCTCTCCAACATGATACAGTCGTGCCAAAAAGCCGTGCGGCATCCGGTCTGAATACGGGTCGGAGTTTGAGGATTGTAAAGAAAAGTTCTCCCCCCATGCGCCTTTCCTCCGCCCACTAAAGGCTTCTTAGAATGGCTCCTCATGATGGTTGTGGTCGGTTCTTACTCAACCTTTTATTATCAAATAGCTCCTGGATCATTCCGAGTAAATCTTGTAGATTGGAGCGGACGTGAATTTAAGCCAGCACTCTTGAAGCACTGCTTCAGAGTCCTCAAGTTATGTATGCCAAAATCACGCCCAATTCAGTGTGGCCTTTATAGAAAGCCCAACCCGTGCCGAGTCGCTAGACTTTCTTGCCGACAATCAACTCTGAAAGGTCCTTGAGTCATTCTCAAAAATTCGGGGTCTAGCTTGTGCTGGCTTTTTAATCAAGCTTCGATCACCGACGCTAGGCAAGAAACATTACCGTAGCTAGTGGCCTTCTATACCCTTCTACCGCCGCGCTACGGCCACAGCATACAGCATCTGTAGCGGTATGCTCCCCGGTTACGTCAATGACATGAAGCCGCGTGGCGTTCTTGGAGCTTCGCATCACTTTGGAGATCTGAAACTCGGAAAATCATTCTGAAGATCTCGACTCATGACAAACATTTCCAGATGACTACTCCGAAACGCATCAAGTCCGAAGACATCACGATGACCTGGCCAAGACCCGGCGCAGCTCCCTCGTGCAGAAGTCAAGCTGAAGCTAAGATCTTCGGCACTGAAGAGGATGGCTCGAACTTAAAGTGGGCGTCGGGGTATAAAACCGGCAACTTTCAGACCAAATCGGGTTCCGGCCGAGTCGCTGTAGCTCAGGTGGCTAGCGCGCTCGCCTAGACTTGGCCAAAAAGGTCCGAGGTCCCGCGTTCGAATCACAGACTCAGTTCTTTTTTGCCGCACCCAGCTATTAGCGCATGCTTTTGGGGCCCTACCGGGCACCTGATTTGAGCCCAGACAGGCCATCCGACGATCTTAGATTGTTCAAGGAAATATGGGGCTGATCGAACGGCTGGATTCACAACAATTTTGACCGTACCGGGTAAAGCATTCCGTGACGTCATACAACTTCGGCGGTACCTGTAGCTCCCAAAGTACCGTACCTACGCACCCCGGTACGCTGACGATTTTCTGATGTCACCTGCAATCGCGACCGTTGGATGGATGGGGCACCGATCAAGCCGATGGAATCCTGGGCGTACGATCAAAATGGGACCCGCGGGTCCCACGCCCACTTTAAGAAAGGGAGCAACGGAGGCAGCGAAGCGCGCAGACGTTCTGGATGAAGATTCGATTGGCTGCACCTAAGGAGAACACAGTCGCCTCTTGGTTCGAAGAAGTTGTCAGCATAGCTCAACAGCGGGATCGCGCTGTGCTTTGCGCAATCAATTGCTGAATTCTGGGTCCATACATCAAAGTCCACAGCCGCAGCTAGGTCCAACCAAACCCACGACGTTTCATGCAAAGGCTTTCAGATCCGTTTTTGCAGTCTGGCTTAAACAAGAGGATTTACAACGCGCCTGTACATCGAAAGCAACCTGGCTGCGTGTCCTGTAAAGATCGTGCTTTTTCTTAATCTTCGAAGCTCCTCAGCACAGCGTCACGGTGAAGGCGCTCGAGAAGGGTTGCGCATCTAGCTGCAGGTGGCACGTGAAAAGAGATAACGGAAGGAAACGCTTGCTTTGCAAAGTCTTTCGATCTGGTAAATATTCTGCTTGCTGCCAGATGAGCGATTGTTGCATGCTTGTATCGCATCACCCCTCTTCATCAGCTCATGCATGAAATCCTATGATTGCTGCGGGTCAGAAGTAAGATCCTCATGAAAAGCTCTCAAGCTTTGTCTAGTCAGAGGAAGGGAAGGTTCAATTTAAGCATCTGTTGCCTGATTTGCGAAGCAACTATTGGTCAGCTTCACTCATCGAACAAAACTCAAGCTCCTCCTCATGCAGGGAGGACATGGAGCTGGCTCAGATTCCATTTGCCATCCGGGACTTCTTCTTCTCATATGGACTGCTGGGAAAAATCGCTCTCTATGTGCCGGTGGGCATCTGCGCGCGCTGCTCCTCTCCGTGAGCATCTAACTTCGATTCTTTAAGTCCTGGACGCTGATCAAGTCCGTTCAACATGAAGACGGCCAGAATAAAGGGGAAGTAGTTGACAGAGAACCTCAGATGCAAATACATCTGTGTCCACGATCGTTTCGCTTTTATAATCGTTCCAAAACGCACAAGCTTATTTCTTGAGTGACAATTCCTTTCGAAGGAAGTAAAAAGTGCCTCTTGAACATGCTATCAACTCTGTAACGACCACTTTGGTCGTCAAATGATAAAGTAGTGAGCAACTCAAGCTAATTAAATCCATGCTACTAGATGCAAGTGTTCCAATCTTGAACGTCATATCCGTTCTCGTGTCGCCCCTGCAGCTTCTGACGAGCATTGTCGGGGCCAGTCTCTCCCTTATTGCGCCCCCGTACGTTCAGTTCCTTTCAGGAATTCTCGACGAGGTAAGTCGGTGTTCTTATCCCGTCAGGTATGTAGACTGATTGGAATGCAGTTCACGTAGGGCCACTCTCAAACGTTTCCCGCTGCAGAGTCAAAAGGGTGCTCAAGCGCAAGTGGAAGCTTTCAGAGGTTGCACGAGAGCGAATCCATTTGCTCACGGAATAGAAAAGGCTCTTTTATGGCCACTGTCGCCCGATCTTGCGCGCAGTGAGTTCTACCCCTCACGACTTGTCCTGATTTAAGCGGTCTGCTAAGGACTTGGGCTGCTTGAGTGTACCATGTGCTCAAAGCTGCTCGTCAGAACCAGTGCTCTGACGACTTTCGACAGTGTGTACAGATGGCTAATCACGTTTCCCTACTTCTACAGCTTCTCGAGGAGCCATTGCTGCGGAACGCCCTCAATCTCCTTCTTGCGGTAAGCGCTTCCAGAAAGTCGCGGCTCTCCGTAGAAGTAATGCGCATGAGAAATTACAGCCCACACAGAGTGAAACGAGAACCCACAAATTTACAGCGGACTCAACTAGGAGTGGAGCGCTTCGGGAGTTGCCAATTGAAAAGCGTCAAAAGCGGATGATAAACAAATGGCTAGAAGATTGCATGTACACTGTCAAATCGGACGTCCTCTTCCGTCCTGACTCCAATGTTTTCCGCTTCGAAACAGCAGAGGAGATTGAATCGTCCCTTGCAGGCTATCGAGCTTCCCCTTTTTGCCGCTCTCTTCTTCATCTGCGGTGTCACGAAGCTGATCCGCGCCGCCGTCCGGCCGCTCGTTCCGTCAATGACGAGATTCGCTTTCCCCTATCATGGAGGGAATGCGCTGGGAGCACATCTACAAACAGGGCCACTGAAGTTCAAGTTGGATACTATCGCTTGGTGCTTGATCACTGACGTCATCATGGTCTGCTTCTTCATCCTCTTTTGGAGGTCTTTTGGGCCGCTTTGGCTCCTTTACCAGCTTTCTAGTAGTCTCTCGGTCTTCGTCCTCCTGAGAATGGGGTCCATGGTCGAGGATTTCGTCTTCACCGACTCTGAGGCGAGATGCGGCAGCGGATGAACAGGGCACTCGCTAGGGAGATTGTGAAACCTTCCGCTATCAGCGAGGTTGTTTTGCTTAAACGTAGTCCGACGATCAGCCTTCCTTGCGACGAACGTCTCCTTCATTTTACGCTTGCCCGTACATATGCCGCGCGCGACATGTATCTGGATTGCTCGCCCCATGAGGTGGTACCGTCCAATCAAAGCGGTTCCGACAAATTTGCGGTCATGTTCCATCTCGGGTCATGTTGCTCACATCCGATTTCCTTCCACCATTCCCGAATCACGTCAGCTTTTGCTCTAGGACGTTCCGGCTGTGGTATCGTGGCCACCCGGCTTGACATGTGGCCTGTGCTGGCA